AATTTCAATTACAATCAGCCATTAAGTAGTTTTCAATTCCTAGGTTAATGAATCATTATTAGCATTTATTTTCCTTTGTGAATCTTTGTAAATCTGATGGCAAAACTTCTTTATAAGTTGAACCATTTTTATCAGAAATAACAAGTGAAATTTTATTTAGAAATATTAGAGTTTATCTCTTTTATTTTAGTGAGAGTGATTCTCCTAAATTATTGAGTGATTCAAGAACCCTTGGTTGTATCAAAGGACTTTCACATTCTTTGTGAGTTGTCTCCTTTGGGAAGAGTGATTCTTTTCTTTCACCTTATCACTAAATTCATAAATTTCCTACAAGATTCTAACCCTAAAGATCCTAAATCATCTCTTGTGCTATTGAGATTCATATCAAGAAGGGAAGAGAGAACAAGGAAAGGCGAGACCAATGGTGGGAGAATATTTGGGGGTAAGGGCAAGATTGGGAGACTTCTTCGACAATGTTGTTCCTTCATGCTATCACTCTCTTACACTCATCTTCTTCGATTTGGGGATATATTAAGTATATTTAGGATGAATTTCAAATGAATTTTGTGCTTAACCAAAGATTTGGACACATTAGCAAACAAAATCAACAGTGAGAGAGGCAAAACGAGGGCAAAAGGGGGAGACAAGTGTTGCAATTGAAAATAGGGCACGACTGGGAAGGAGACCTAATAAGCTCATTTAATACTCAAACCAAATTACCGATAGATAAATAAAATTATACCGATAGACTAATTTACCGATAGATATATCCGTCGATAATTTAAATCACAACAATTTTTATCTCAACCCATGAACATTTTCGATGACTAAATACCGTTAGTAGTTAATTGTTAAATTACCAACGAAGACCAAATTCCACAAATATTTTATATTCGTCAAGTAATGCCCATTGGTAATTACTCATTTATCGACAACTTTATATTCGTTGGTAATTAATCATTTTCTTATAATGATATAACTCAAGTGATGATATACTAAAGAACCTTTCATGTTTATATAGGAAAATATCATTTAAGTTAGGAAATCATGCTCCATAAATAATATTTTATTATATCTATCTATCTATCTATCTATCTATCTATCTATCTATCTATATATATATATATATATATATATATATATATATATATATATATATATATATATTTATAATTTCAATTCCTCGTTAAGTTTTATATGATTATTAATTTTTAAATGTGACTCTAGATGCTATCTAATTATTATTATTGGTGGGTATTAAACATTTTATTTCTTAAAATTTGACTATGATAAATAATGTTCTTTAAGGATCGTGTAAGTTATTTTGAATATTTTTAATTAGTTTTATATTGGAATATTAAAGTAATTATTAAGGAATTAGCTTAAATTAATCTAATATAAAATTAGATGAATTATTGAGTTATGGAATATATTTACGGGATATTTAGCATTTTCTTAATATTGATATGTTTTCTATGTAATTCACATAATGTTCATTATATATAATATTATTTTACTAATTGTATTTGTTATTTGAATTGTAACAGGAAAAAATATAACGAAGAAAACAAGATGATTAACCATAGAAAATTTTGAGAAAATTGATTTCCAACTTTTTTGTTTTTAGATGAATATTTATTTAAGTTAATTGAGAATTGAACTTTATTATTTATCTTTGTATATTTGTTTTGTAAAGAATTTATTTTAGATTCTTTTAAACTTCTTATTAGAAAAAAAACTCATTTTAACTATTCAAATGTATAATTATTGATATTCAAAATGAAACATAAAATCATATAATAATATATTAAAGAAATAAAACTTTAAAAATATAATAAAAATAAAAGTGGAGTTTTATTAATAGTATTTAAAAAGGTAAAATAAGTTTAATTTTAAAAACTAACCTATTTGATAAAGTAATTTTTGAGAAAGAATAAGGATTTGGTGGGTTCCTTGTTGAACAACATGGGATGATGATTAGTTAGGTGTACGAGTACTCGTTTCTAACTGTCATCCATTAAACAACCCCTTACCATGATGGTTAGTTAGTTAGGTACGAGAAGTTGTGTTTAACAGTACCGTTACGCGAACATGGAGCAGCGTACGCCACCTAGTCAACGCTCCACAGGATTAGAGGCTTTCCGAGGGAAACTTCCGTAATTTCCAACCCTCACTCGTCTTTTTCACTTGTTGGTAAAAGGGAAAAGATTTTTCGTTTCGATTTTGTAAATCAGTTGTCGAGCTTTTCGAGATGGAGCAGTGGCACGTGACATGTGGGTGGATCTTGTCAACTGCTAGCTGGCATGGGTGTCACGGTCCCAGCACGTGCGGATGGATCATAGTGTTCTTTTCTTTTTCCTTTCATTGGGAGTCGTGAGATGCGAAGGAATGGAAGTAAATGTTGTAACCGCGATTATGAACGGTCCACATAGAACTCTGTAGAAAATGTTTTTCTTAATTGTAAATATACAAACAAAAAAAGTTACTCCTCTAAGTCATGGTGTTCCATCAAATATTCGTAAACATTTTCCATAAACCATTTAGATTATGTATTCCATAACACAATTTTAGAAAGCCTAATTCAAAGATTTTTCAAATATATTTAATTTCGAATACATATTTAGATAACTTCTGCATACAACTTTCTAAAGAGATTATAGATTATATAATTCAGTATAAATTTTCGAAAAGCATAACTCTAAAATATTTAAAGAAATGTTTCAGAAAATTTTCAAATTATATTTTCGAGAAAAATGTATTCACAATTCAATAATTTGAAATACATTTAAAAAAAATTAAAAAATTATTGGATTAATCTTTTTCGAAATCCATAATCCCAAAGATTTTTGGAGAGTGTTTTGAAATGTAGCCATAAATGCATACCATAATATATTCAAAGTGTATATGATTGAAAGCAGAAATCATGATCAAGATATTTTTAATTTGGAAGAATGAAAACGAATGCTCTGCAGAGAACTATGAAGATGAATGACGAATGGAGATCAAGCAGGAGAATAAGAAAAAAAAAAAAAAAGGATTCAAAAGTTATTTTTGTGTTTTCAAATATTATGGGGTACAGCAATAAATCATAAAAAATGCAAAAATAGTTATTAATCATCTAGACAAAATCGATCATCCCATTTTATAGTAAAATAAGTTAAATTTGGTGGACATTTAATGTACAAAATATGGAAGGATTAGTGATTTTAATCCGTGAATTTATTTTAATCTATTTCGTCTCCTATCATTCGATATGATATGATGAGATATGATGAGTTGAATTATTTTCGTTCAATATCATACAAGTTGAATTATTTTAAAAATATTATATTTTAATGTATTATATTATTAAAATATGTAAATATATTATAATATTATAATTTAAATTATAAAAATTAATTAAATTTAAAGTACTAATTATAATTAATTTTTTAATATAATAATTAATCTAATAAAAATAATAATTAATAAATAAATAATTTAAAAATTATTCATTTAATTAATATATATTTTAAAAATATATATAAAAAAAATCATTAGTAAAATGATTCATTAATCCGTCAACCAACCTTTAACAGAATAAATTAGAATTTATAGCTCATTCTAAGTATGAAAGATCAATCTACAATTACTATTTTTTATTTTATGAATTAAAGATGGATGAATAAATTCATTTTAATATTTATATGATCTTTTAATAAAAAATGTAGATGATATATATATATATATATATATTCTAACAAAATACCTTTCTTTCTCTAGCTATCTAAAATAATTATAATTATTCATTTAATTTTTTATTATTATTAAAAACACAACTCTCTTGCCCTTTATGTATAAAGTGATTCAGTTTATGTTTGGCTAAATGTTATCCAAACAGTAGACAAGACCCCATTACACAATGAAATGGGTTTTTGTTGGTGGTTTGGTTCACATAAAACGCAATGTCAGACAAAATAAATTACAACATCTTCACTATCACTTAAAAAAAAAACTTGTATACCTCCCACTTTTGAGAGATGAAAAAAAAAAAAGATAAATTATACTTTATTTTCCTCTTTAATTATTAATTAGCAGTTTTTTATATTTTTATTTTATTTTTCATTAGTTTAATTTAGTCTCTAGATTTTTAACAAATTTATATAATTTGTTATATGGTTATTATACCATCAAGATATATTTTAATTAATTAAATACATAAATAAAAAATAAATAATCATATACAAATTTAATATCAATTTAAATTTTTAAGAATTAATTAAAAAAAACAAAATGGTTAATCAAAATTCAATATTTAAGATACAAAAGAAATCAAAATGACAATAAATATCACAGCGAATAAGCCCATAAATGTTATATATAGAGAGAGATAGGGAAAGATTCACCTATATTCTAAATATAAGAAGTTAAAAATTTGTTTGATTATTAATTTTAAAAATAATCTTTTAATTTTAAAATAAAAGTTTATTTAATAATTGTTTTATTTTATTAAAATATTTTTAAATTTATTTTGTTAATACTGATAAAATATATTTCTGATTTTGATTTATATGAATATATATCGCACTTTTATTTATAATTATATTAAATTACTTATTATTATTATTATAATACTTTCAAAATCTAGTTAAGATTTTTTTTAATCATTTTCGTTATCAAATAAGATTTTTTATTTTTTATTTCTAAAACTAATTCTTTTAAAATTAATTATTATTTTTAAAAATAAAAATAAAAAATACTTATTTAATATTTAAAATTAAAAAAAAAAATATATATATATATATATATATATATATATATATATAATATTTTCAAAATAGAAAACGATTAGTGTCCTTCGCTTGATTTCAATTTATCCCGTAGTTAGGGCATTCTACCCTTGAGTACCAGAATTTTCAATATTTTTGTATATATAGTGTAAAGTATTAATTAATTTTGTTATTACTATTCTTTACAAAAAAAAATTGGTGATAGAGATACTATAAGAATATACGTGACGATTAGTTGAACAAGGACAAAAGGAAGTACCCATGTTTACCCATGTTTATGGATGACGTGGCCACATGTGTGGGCCACGTGCTCTTCCTTGAAGGCCCACGAATCTCTACACTATTCTTAAAAGCCCATTCCAATGTGAGAAAAACTGCATGAATGTGCAGAGTAGTAAAAGCTTGAAGATGAGTTGGAAAAGTTTGAACTAAACTTTTATTGGGGGCGTTTGTTGTAGTTTTCCAAAGAGGATAAGAAACAAAATTTGTAAAGTAACTAAACATTTTGGGTGTGGCCCGTAATTAACCAAACCAGACACTTTACCTTACAATTAAAACCACGTTTGGTACAAAAGTATATGTACCTTAAAATTCTCAAAATTCTTAATCCTAGACCATAAAAACCAGACATCATTTCCCCCAAAAGATAAAAGGAAAAGAGCAAGATAAGTGAAGGATGGACAAAATTTGTTTGAAACTGGGTACGTCATTACTTATTACCACAAAAAAAAAACTTGAATATGAATAAAAAATAAAGTTGTTAAAAATAAAGAGTTAATAGAGAGAATATGAAAGTAAGAAAAACATGAATTTATTGTGAAACTGAAAGGGTATGTATGGGATACCATTCTTTGCAATGACCCTACAAATTAGAGTGTCTTTTTCGGATCCTTTCTTTTGGATTTTTTGGGGTCATGAGATCTAAGCTTGGGGGTTATGTTGGTTTAACTTTTGTTGTGTGAGCTCCCACTTGTGTCTATATGTCTTTGATCCATTTATTTGAACTAGTTATGTTTGGGGGCATGTTCACTAACATTTATGATTTTATACCTTCTATTCTTCTAACATATTCATTAAACTTTGCATTTTAATTTTATAGGATATATAGGGTGTCATAAACTCACCCTAATTACTAATTTTCTTATGACATTAAGTAATAAGATATTTTGTATTATTATAAACTTAAAAAAAAACTACAGAAAAGTGGTGCAATGAGTAAAAGAGGTTGTGCAAATAACAAAAGCAGAAAAACTATTGGGCCCTCTAACATCCTCGCCTGCTCTTAATTTCTCCACACTTTCTTCCTGTTCCCCATAATTTCTTCATGTACCTCCATATTTCATGTAAAATAACTAAAATACCCTTTCCAAAATACTGAAACCTCTATTATCTTGTGTACACCTCTTACACCTCCATTATCTTTTATACCTTCATAGATCTATAAATTAGATTTCTTGCATTATCACATGTAATTAAATTATACATTAAGACCTAAATTACTCGATTTAAAACCGATTTCTCAAAAATTAAATTGAGTTCTTGAACATTTAATTTAAAATATATTTTTAAATTGACTTTTTAAAAAATGCATTATAAAACACAAGTCTGAAAAGGTGGATCTGGAACAAGATTTATGAATTTTTTTTTCCAAAAACAAGTTCCAAAATTTGGGTTCCAAAACAACATTTATAATTTTTTTTTCTAGAAACACCTTCCAAAAATTAAGTTCTGAAATATATTTCCAGAAAGTGGGTTTAGAATAATATTTCTAGAAAAAAATATTCAGATTTCCATAATTGATTTTTTGGAAACTCATTCCGGATTGGTGACCTAGAATATACTTTCAAGATGTTCAATTTGAAAATATATTATGGACCCACCAATCCAAAATATGTTTTTGAAAAATCAATTCAAGAAATATATTTCAAAATCTACTTTCCAAAACTTGTTTTTAGAAATATATTTCTAATCCTCAGTCCAGAATGTATTTTCAACCAAAAATTTCATTGCACGAATACTATATATGATAAAAAAATTGATATAAATTAAAATAAGTTTGATATTCTTACTTATTTTTTGTAATTCTTGAAATAATAGGAGAAGAAAGAATAAAAATAATGTAGGGTTTAAAAATAAGTTATTTAAAGGTTTAAAAACCAGAAACAAACAAACAAGGATGAAGATAAGTCTACTAGTAAAATAGGATTTAATTTGATTATAGGGGCACAGAAAGAAATTGTGGAGGTACAGAAAAAAAGTGCCTAATTTGTCATACCAATTTTAGAATACGTGGAGGCCCAAAAATATAGCAGCTAACCATATTCAGTTTAGATTTGGGGTTTTTGGAACTCATTTTTGGAGGGCCCAATCCTTATTTAGTATTAAGAAATATATTACCCAAAAGTTGCACTTTACACCAATTTTCATACTAATAACAGTTTCTCTTCTAAATTTACTTAAAGTAATATTATTCCGAAGTCGTCCGGTGTCTTTAAATGTGGATTGTATCAGATAATTTTATATAATTTTAATTTAAAAATATTGTTGGATATACAATAATATAAAAAATAATGATCGTTAATTAAATTTATAGTTAAAGCACTCTTTTTTTCCAAGAATATAACTTTGGACTGGAATGTGTGCATTTAAAGTTTGATAAAAACAAAAGTTGCACTTCCATATATACCTTCCTTCCAATGACTCATTCAACTTAATTGAGTTTTCTTTGTTAGTTTATATTTTTCTTTAAAAAAAAAAACTAAAGAATTTGAATACGTTGTCAATGGATTAATTATAACCATTTTACACAATTCGATGTCACTGATTAAATTTTAACTACTTTGATTCGTGTATTTGTTGATAACTTTTTTTCTTTTGCAAACAACTTCCTACTTTTGTCACGATCTCAACAATTACAAATTAAGTATAGTTTTAGTCTTTTATCATTTCTATACTAGTTAAGTTTTTATATTTTGAAATTAAACAAAAATGATTTTCTCACCACTTTTCTTCTTTCTGAAACTTTGAATTATTTTTTTTCCTTAAATATTTAAAAGCTTATGATATAGATGACATGAAATAACTTTCACAAGGTTAGAAGTAAAAAGGTTTATAAAAAAAAAAAGATTTTATCGATTGTAAGATTAAGATTTAAAGAGGGAAATTTCTATTTACTTTTTACTTTGTGAGTAAAATTTGATGAATTTTACTTATAATAGAAAAGTGTTTAAAAAATTTCATTGGTTCAATTTATAGAGATTGAGTGGGAAATGGGAATCTAAGGGTTTAAGAAAGATTTTTTTTTTATATATATATAGAACTGAATTTATTTAGGTTTAAATTTTTTTACAAAAAAATAAAATTGAAGAAACTAACCGAAAATCATAATTAAGCATATTTAGTTTGAAATTGTGCCACGTGAGATAAAAATCGACCACATATTGTGTGTGACACGGCCTTATTATGGATACAATCATATGAAAACCTCTGACTTTTCCAGTAAAACATATTCTTTAGGAGAACAGGACACAATGGTGTACAAGTTTTTCTATGCAATGAATGAAAAATATAGATTGCAGTTGAAGAGTGAATGACCAAGTTGAATTAAATAAATAAATAAACAAAAAAGAATGAATGAATGAATAAGAGGCACATATAAAAGTTTATGGGTTGGGCCTAGTGGGTTGTGTGGCCATTGAGTAAAGAAAAGGAAGAATTTTTATGGTGTTGTTGATTCCTTCCATCATAATCACATAGGTAAAGAAAACCACAGCTTGAATAGGACAACTTAAATCTCATAAATCTAATGTTTTGAAATGATTACAAAGAAAAGATGATATTAACACAAGTAAATGGGAGAGCTAAAACCTAAAAGATGGCCAAATAGTCAAAGTGGTGCTCTTTTGACATCAAATAGCGTCACAAGTACTCATAACAAATACATTAACTTTACCACAAATGAATGCCTTTTGATCCAAGAGCAAGAAAATTTCACTAAAGAAATAATAACCATCCTTGCACAAATAAGAGGGTCTCCTTCATCTTTCTCAAGTGGAACTATGTGTGACCTCTTTGCTAGGTCAAAGGTAGCCAATTTTTGCTGAACTTGTCCTATGAATCTTTGTATGTTTTTCATCCAATTAAGCAAATTGCTTTTACAGTTTTTCAACGATGATGATTGGATCATTTAGTACACTTCTATGTTTTAATTGCTTGGACAATTTGTTAACGCTGTTTCAAAGTCAACATATATTAGATGGATGAAATATACCCCCTTGTCTGATTATGTTAGCAACTCTTGGCATGTCTTGGAGATTGGAAATGACATTACTCTTGTTTTACAATTAGAGTAAATAACTGAATATTTCAATCGAGGAAAACAATATAAAAGAAAAAAATAATTTTAAGAGGTTATAAAATTTGAATTCCTTTCCAAATTTGATATCTTTTAAGAGTTAAATAATGTTTAGGGTTGTTTGGGAGAAAAGGGTAGTATGAATTGAGAAAAATAAGAGATTCAAAATAAAGTGGGACCAAGAAAAGAATGATAATAATAATAATGGAATGAAATAACAGGTTTTGTCCTTAGTAGGGACTTCTACCTCTACCACCACCAGTAGATGGCAAAGCTTGTCATGGGGTCGTTTCATGCTTCCTTGTTGCTTTCGTCGTTTCTATGCACTTTAATGCTTTTATATTTTTGGACTAACCATTTTTGCTTCCATTTCATTACTTTCAGTTTCTTAACCCCTTTTTGTCTCGTAGGAATAACTGAGACAGACAGCAACATGACCCAGTATTTTGGACCAGCTATTCAACTTTCTCTTCTTCTGCCTCTCTGCATAATTCAAGAATATTTGCCTCTGACATTAACAAATCAACGTTGTTTATGTCCATGTTGTGTTCATAATTGGTGGAGTGAACAAACACCCTCGAATCATGGTCGCTTCCATTTCAATTTATACCACAATTATTATTATTATTATTATTATTATTATTATTATTATCTATTTGTGTTAAGTGTTTTGGAGAATCTAGAATGAGAATGTTGATATATGAAGGAACCACAAATTCTTGTGTTTTAGAGGGAAAGCGAAAAAATAACAGTCCCTTTCAGATATTTTACTAATTCAATATGAATCCTTAAGTTAAGGTTTTAGTCATTATTGTATCATCGTTTTATATTCTTAGGTTTGCATCGAAATCGAACGAAAACAAAATTTCGATCAGACAATTTTTCCTAATTTAATTTTTTACACTATCAATGCAATTCGATTATGAATACGTTGATTCCATCGTATCTCAGTGCAAATGAAATATTTGTATGGGAGAAGGAGAACAAGAAAAAGAACATTATTTTATAAAAAAAGTACACACAATTTTTGTCATTTATTAACTTATATAAATTAATTAAGAAAATGTAAAATACACTATTGTATTATAAAATTTCACGCAGACCAGTTAGTAATGAATAAATCACATCATTAATTTGTTTCGAGTTTGAAATGTTATATCTAAACTTAAATAAATCATCATCTCAAGTTTGATTAGATCAGTTTTTCCTTTCATTCGGAAGTATCACTGTAATACATGTTTCTTAGTCATGCATTATTTTAAAAAATTAAAAATGTTACGTCTAATTTGTAACTATGCGTTAAAATATATTTAACCTAAGTCGATTCGAAAATCTAAAAAATAAAATAAATGAAGTTGGACAAAAAAATTTTCCTTAAATTGAATTAGTTTCCATTTTACTTAATTCGTTTATGTTATTATTTATATATATTTAGTCGGATTAATAACTAATCCAATGTGTTAGTGGCAAATCGAGAAAAGCGATCGAAATCGAAGGAAAGAAATGTGACTCGATAAGATAAACAAAAATTCATTCGATGTCTAATTAGAAATACGTAGCACATAGCATCGAGAAACACAATTGAGAATCGAATGAATTATAATCAAATGATTGTTGTCGAATAAAAACTAAGTCATATAAGACCAGGGTTAAAAAGGAATCGTAAGTAATTCGAAGTTCTCAAAAAATACAGAATCGAGAGAAAAGAAAGCCAATATGGACATCGAGACTTTGGCCAAATCGTGAAAGGAAGTAAGCCGAATGCACGTATAAAGAGCAGTTTTGAAATCATGGGAAAAGTCAGAGATCGTGAGAACGTGGGAAACTATAGAAGATAAACTGCCATACGCACGTAGAACGTGGTAGCAGTGCGTTAACTGCTCTCGGAAGGCTTGAAGGATGCCCTATAAATAGAGCAAAGGAGGAAGGAACAAGGGAGCAGAAATTGGCAGAGAACAGGATCAGTAGTGAAAAGTCTACCGGAGAAACGACGAACACCATGAAGCTTCTGGCAATCTGGATTTCCTTGCTCACCGAGTACATTTACCGCTTCGTATTTTTCTTGGTAATTTATTTTGATGCAACTTAAATTCAACAATTTTATGTTTACGTATTTTCAATTCCTTGTCCATTTCAATTCAATGAAAATTTGAGTTTACGCATTTGGATGTCCATGTTATTTAACATTCCGCAAATCTCAATTTCCCGTCATTTACTTTTCTTGCAATCTCGATTTCTTGCCATTTATATTTGCGTTGTTTTCGATTTCTTGCTATTTACAATTAATGCAAGTTTGGGGTTTTCGCACTTTACATTTCCTCGCAATTTAACATTCCGCTTTTTCGATTCGATAGTCTTAATGCTTTCGATACTTTAAATACAAAACACCAAAAACAACGTTTTCGATATCCTGTGATTTTCGATTCTCATACACGTTTCGATTGAAAATCAAATTGCTAGCCTAAGTAAAAAGAACTTACGTGGTAGGATTTCGATTAAGACCGAGACACCTTTAGAATCGAAATCGATCGAAATTCCCCGAAACACAATGATAATTATTTTTTAAATAAAATTATTTTATTACAAATATATATATATATATATATATATATATATAATTAATTTAACAAGAAATTAATTTATTTTAAAGATAAAAAAATAACCATTTATTTATAAATATAATGATTAAGATGAAATATTATACTTTATTTTAAAATATATGTCAAATTAGATATATATTTTTTTACCTAGTAGTCAAATCAGACTTAATCATAGTCTATTTTGATAATCCTGCTTATATCATATTTTTAACTATCTTAAACAATAATATTGTATTAATTTTATATTTTAATCTATGTAAAATAAAAAAAATCTATATTGTTTTAAATTTAAGTCTAAGTAAGGTAAATATTTGATTTAATATATTATTTGTTAGTTTTATGTGAGATCTTTAAAGGAAAATATTTATATCATATAATATAATGTTTAAAATAGTATATTTGATCATGTTATTTTCAATAAGAAAAAGGTGTTTCATATGAAAAAAAAATTATATATTTTTTAGTAATTCTATTAAAAATAAATATTGATATTTTTATTATTTTTAGATATTATGTGTACAATTTTTTTAGATGCGTGATAAGTTATAACTAAACAATTATATTTTAATTAATCTTACAAATCTTATAATAGTTAGGATTATGATTCCAACTAATTATGAATACATTTTTACATTTAGATAACTTTTTTGTTTTTAGGATACGATGAATTAACCAAACTGATCATTGAATTGAAAATTCTTATAAATTAGATTTTTCGCACAAATAAAAAATTACTTGACACTTTAGTATACATATGGATAATGAATTTCTTAAAATAGGTTAAATAATATTTTTAATAATTTATTATATTACTTAAATAAGAAGTTGAATAATGTGTTAGTATATAAATAAAAATTTTAATAAACTCAAATGGTTATAAGTTCACAAAGTACTGAAGTTAATTTATTTATTTTCATAACAAAGACGCGATGAAAGAAACAACTTATTTTATTTTACTTAATTTAAATTAGGTTCAAGTTTAGTTCATCCTTACAAATTTCATTAATAAAAAATTAATTAAAAAAATTATTACAAAATGTATTATTTTTGTTACATCTGACTTAGATTTAAACATGGTTGAAGAGTGACAATTTGATTTTCTTTTTCTATTAAAAAATTAATTTAATTTTTATTACTTTAGAATTGATGTGACTAATAATTTTAAATTAATAAACATTTAAAAATTGATTTTGTTCTTAATCATTGATGTTTTTAATTTTTTAATTAAAGAGATGTATATACCTTGGTGAGGTTAAGTCCATGAAGAACTGTGATGAAGGTTCATGAGCGCCTAAAAAGTAGCTGTTGCATTAAAAACTGCTTACTGCATCACCGGAATAGCCTACCAAACACGCAAGACCAAACAAAACAACTACTAGGATGTAGTTTCATTCTCTCAACCAATTCATTTAAGAAGTTTATTTTTTTATTTTTTTAAAACGTTTAGATAATTTATTATCTAGTTTACCATCTTAATTTATCATACTTTCATTTGTAATCGATATTTGAACAAATTAAAAAAATGATGTACAAATTATCATTTTTAATCTATTACTGTCAAAATTTTATCACTACGGCTATGCAAGGTGTGCAACCCTAAGTACCCAAGCTCACACTTATCCATTACTAGAGTTTCTAGCACCACCCTAACATGGCCCCATGCACCATCATTAGGGCTTGTCAATGGCTACCCTATAAAATAATAATAGCCCCCAACTCCTTATGACTTCACTTATTTTTGTTGGTGAGGCAAAAGGAAACAGAAGGATAAAAGCTGGCTCAAAAACTTGCATAAATTAAGAAAGGTTACAAGTGTAAGTGTTGTAAATAGAAAAATAGTTGAAAGAGAAAACCTATTAAATAAGTATTACTTGTTATGGATATATAGTGTCTATATAATTCAAGATTTTGTCAAAGAGAAGGAAATAAGAATTATGTGATCGATTCATCCCTTTCTGGCAGAACATTTAACGTGTTCACCAAGCCAAATAATTTGTTTAGTTTTCTTTCCCCGAGGAGAAAGGAGAAAGCTATGTGAGATACCTATTCCTCGCCGTTACCACACATAATTTCTTTTCTTAATATGTTTCATTCTTTTAATTTAGACCTAACTACGTACTAATATGAACATGTTTAGTGTGGTTACCTGAAACCAAAAAAATCACAAATTGAAGAAACTTAATTTATAGTTAGTTCGAACATTTTTGACACATATTCCAAAGGATACTAATAATAGGACGAAAATATAATTCATCTCTATTGTGTAACATTTCTAAATTCAAATTCAAAGTATTTAATAAATTGATATAACATGAAATCTCAAGTATTCTAATAGTGTTAATCTTAAAAAAATTGAAGAAGGAGTTTAAATTTTATTAAATATAAATAAAAAAAATTAAGTATTAATAAGTGAAAAATATTTTAGAATTTAGTATTTAAAGTTTTGAATTAAAAGTAATATTTACTTGACTCGTATATTATTCATAAGAATATTTGTGTTAATTCCTTCTAATATAATCATCGTATTAGAATTTTATTATATAAATTATTATGTTAAAAATTTTAATGATAAGGATTTTAGACTTGTTACATGAATAAGGTAGAAATAAAATTATACTAATATGATAGAGATTTAAATATAAATTAAAATCTTATATCTAACACAAATAAGAGAATTAAATAATTTATAAATAAG